GATCTAGTACAAGGTTGCGATAACCGCTGAAACACTTTAAAAAACATAGACTTTAGGTTATATCTAAACTACATCTATGTTCTATAGAAAACTAGCTAAGAGGCAGGCGAAACGAAGGACCCACATGGTGTAGTGGTGAACGCGTCAGCCCGCAGAAAGGGTAATAGCGCGTTCTTTCCCCACCGGAGACACCCGAGGTCCAGAGTTTTGCAAATAACTCAGCATCACTGCAGTTGTATTTCGCACAATACCCTGCCATGTGCATTAGTATTGGTCGAAGGTGCAAAAGCTGAAAAAAGCATTCCCAAAGCTTCGCTAATTACGAGACCAAAATGAATGCACTCCGACGACAAGACGGAACAGTAACAGCGTCCAGAAAGGCAATGGAAAAAATCATTCACGAATAGTATTCAGATCTATTCGAAAGTCACCTCCATCTTCCATTATATGAAATAAAGGATGGATATGTTGCACCACCGACTCTCCCTTCCGAAATCCGACATGCTATTTCGTCGGTGAAAAATCGAACAGCACCAGGACCGCACAGGATAAGACCAGGATACCTGAAGAACCTCTCGCCAGTCCTCGTAAACACACTGGTTCGGTTTTTCACACGTTACCTGTCTGAATGCAAGGTCCCTATTCAGTGGAAGACCAGCAAAACCGTGTTATTGTTCAAGAAGGGTGACCTACACGATATCGGCAACTATCACTCTATCTGCTTACTGCCTGCCGTCTACAAACTTTTCAATTGAGTCATCCTAAACAGGATTGGCAGAACACTAGACGAAGAACATCCATGTGAGCAAGAAGGGTTTCGAAAAGGATTTAGTACGATGAGCCCTATCCACACGAACACAATACAAAAGACCGCTTTGTCTCACTTTCATCGATTTACAGAAGGGCTTTGATTCAATTGAGATAGAAGCAGTCTTGGAAGCCCTGGATGGTCAAGGAGTCCCTACTCAGCACATAAAGATTCTTGGTGAGCTGTACATAAATTTCACAGCCGAGATATCACTGTTCTACAACGATATTAACATTGACGTCAAAAGAAAGGTTAGACAAGGCTATACCATCTCGCCAAAATTATTTACCGCCACCTTCCAGAACGTCATGCGAGCATTGGAATGGGATAATACGGGAGTGAAGATCGATGGTCGGCAGTTACACCATCTTCGCTTTGCTGATGACATCGTCCTTATAACAGCAAACATTAGCCAAGCGGAACGTATGCTTGGCGGCTTTGATAAAGCCTGTGGAAAGATTGGTCTTCGACTAATTCTCACAAAAAAGATGTTCATGAAGAACGGATTGGTTTCGTATACCCCATTCACGCTCAACGGAACGTATATCTCCGAATGCTCCAGTTACCTCTATCTAGGTCGGGAAATCAATATAATGAACGACTTAGTTCCAGAGCTAAGCAGATAGAAACGAGCGGCTTGCGGAGCTTTCAATAGCATTGGAGATGTAGTGAAGAGGACAAAGAACACCCGACTCCGGGCCCACCTTTTCGTCTCAACGGTACTTTCAGCTCCAACGTATGCACCACAAACCTGGTCGCTGCATAAGCAGGATGAAAGACCACCCAGCGTTATCGAACGCGCAGTCGAAAGGACGATGCTAGGAGTATCCTGTTTCACACAAGCAAGGGATGGGATCCGAAGGTGCGATCTGCGTCAATGATGAAGAAAAATCAAAGATGCCGTTCTGTACGCCAAACAGTCGAAGATAAGGCGGGCCGGACACGTAATGCGTATGAATGACCACCGATGGACAAAAGTCGTTAGTGACTGGATTCCTCGAGATGTCAAACGTACTACAGGAAGGCTACCGACCCGATGGTCAGAGTTCTTCACCAAGAGCGTAGAAATAGGATATGATGCTCGACGAGTCCCTAGAACGAGCAGAACCCAGTGGGCTCACGCGACAGTGAAAAATGGAAGATATAATGGCGGCCGCTCGAGTCTCCCGACGATGAACGGGGCTACAGGTGATACAAGTGATACAAAGTGAGTGGAAGCATGGACTGCCTCAATATACCAGCGATTACAGTGTCGTGCGGTGTAGTTCTGTTAGCCCTCTTCAGCGGTAAGTGAAGTCGTTACTTTTAATTTAGTCAATACGAGTTGATGCTGTTGCCACTGATCGATAAAACTAGTTGAAAGACAGGCCGCAGGACGAACGAAGGACCCGCATGGTGTGGTGGTGAACACGTTAGCTCCAGGACAGGGTAACAGCGCGTTCATTCCACACCGCTGACATCTGAGGTCCGGAGTTTTGCAAATATCGCAGCATCATTAAAGTTAATACTATCTATTCGAATTTATTTAAGGCGGCACCTGAAGTGCAGCCATATCGGCGTCTGCGACTTTGACTGAATTACCCACTGGCATCGCTGATTTGTCTGCCCGCCCAATCGATCTGGAATTTCAAGAGAAATAAATATTATAGTAGGAAGCCGCTATGAACCGTTTCAAAAAAGTATTAAAAAGATGCAAATATCTCTTTGTAATTATAAGTTAATTTCCGAATTAAAATTACCCTTGTTGTTTTTACTCCTATAACTGTACGTTTGCGTGTCGCTTGTCGCTACCAACCAATCACCGCAGTCGGCTGGAATCAATCAATTGGAAACTAAATTAATCAGTAGATCAACCAAAGAATGAGAAGATGGTTTGTGTAAAACCAACAGTGAAAAGCAAAAAAAAAACAACGGAGGAAAAAAAGAAACGATTTTCTTTGGAGGCTTATTTTTAAGGAACAGTGCTTCCACATTCGATCCCTTCATACTCACGCTTTATAGATCGGTAGAGCAGCTCGAATCCGCTTCCTGAGCCATTCATATCACTTTCGAAGTACACGTGTGCAACTCTTAAAGTGATAGAGAGATTACAAATTTTTGGTTTTCTGCCTAAGAATAAAAAATATCTTAAAACTGTAAAGCTTTTCGAAATGAAGGGATTTTGAATATGAAAGAAATTGAAGCGGCTTGAAAGCAGCAAATAAAATAAAATCAGCTATATAGAAATGTAGTAGTCTGTTATTCATTAATCCAACTTTCACTTAGTTGATCATGATTTTATTTAGTTAAATGAAGGAGGCGCATGGTGTGGTGGCGAACACGTTAACCTCTGGATAACGTAATAGCGAGGCTCGGTCCACGCCGCATACACCTGCGGTCCGGAGTTTCGTAAATATCTCGGCATCATTGAAGTTGTATAAATAAAAAGTGATTATATTGTTAACTCATTTTTGCCGTTGGTCATTCTTCATTGCGTACTTAATGGATTTATCAGGACTAACTTGGATACTTGGATGGCCTGTCTTAACTGGTTGTGCAGGTACCAGCATAATTTCCAATCCCCGGAAATTTGCTGTTTTAGGCATTACGGTTCTCTGGAGTCTCGAGGACAGCTTGGCCAAATTCTGCCCCGCTCAGGGCTAGCACTGACCACTATATAAAAACAGAGAAAGTGCTACTCTAACAAGCCCCAGTGCTTGCTAGAATTTAGTACTCTATTAGACGGATAGCTTAAAAATATTTAAATGTAGGATTGCAATGTATGATATTTTCCATTAATTTGCTGTATAGTAATTCTAAAAAGAGTCAGTATCAATTTTTTTAATTTCATTTTATATGAACCGTCTCCTTGTATAATGCGCGGATCCCAGCACCTCTCACATTCGGTTCCTTTCCTGTCATCCATCATCCACGAAGGTCTGCTTGAGGTTTTTTCTTTCATTTCGAATGTCCTATAATTCTGTTCAAATTGATCCTTCCTGCAGTGCCAAGGTAACCGCGCTGGAGCGTTTCCTATTGGATTGCAGAGAGTGATTTCCTCCTCCCAGACAGGTCCGATACCAATTTCCTGGCTCCGGAGGGATGAGAGGCTTGGTTGGTCCTATGCGGAATTGAACTAGCATCACGGTCGTGATAACCGACATCACTACGACTGTGCTATTCGCAAACTTGCCATTATCAAAAGAGCAAAAAAGTTATTTTGAACAATACTGTAGATTCGTGGCACCGCTCAAATGTAAGAATAGTAATGTCAGAAGAAACATTTGTCTGGATGAGGTCTATCATACAGAACTGGAGGAATATCACGAGGAATATCACCAGATCATCAAAATGAAGGCGTTATACTGTAGCCTACCTGTGAGAAGTGTGGTAAAGTAAAGGCAGTGTATTTCTTACAGTATCCTCACAAATGTCCGAAGCCAATATCGGCGAAAACGATTTGTAACCGTCATAGATCTGAATAGAAAACGTGACGCGTTCTCGAAAACCAAGAATCGACAATTAGTCAACAACTGGCTGAAGGCCTATTGCGTGGATGAGTAGACAAGCTGCATTGAAGAAGAGAAAAAAGTCATCGATTACAGTCGTGACCACTCTTTTCAAAGAGTGCAAAATTCGCTAAGTTAAAATAAACTTAAATACCAAAGATGAATATGCCAGGAAATTTGAAATTCAACTTATTTACTTGGATAGTTGGACAGCCCGTCCTCACTGGTTGTACGGGACCCTTCGAAGTTTTGCTGGTTTAGCCCTTGTGGCTTCTTGGAGTCCCGAGGTCAGCCTGGGCAAGGTCTGCCTAAAGTCTTCACCACCACAATCACTCGCAGCCTTTTTGGATCATAGGGAGATTTGCCACCAAACAAGTAGTTTGAGACCAGGGCGGTGGTCGATCCTGGTATTGGCTTACTCTTAGCTAGGCTTCTTAATGGAAGCGTCGGACTCGTCAGCTTGGGAGACCCCGTCGATGGATTAAATCCCCCGCTGTACATCACAATCTGACAACCAGGAACAGCTCCCAGCCAAGGTGAGGCGGTCAACCCTTGAGAGGGGAATTTAACTACAAATGTATTTAAACATACTAAGCCAAAAACAATATCGTAATAAAAAAACAGTTGGAACAGCTGCGGAATCTTGTAGCAGATTTCAGCAAGTAAGAATTTGTTAGCAAAATAATGAAAAGTCATTCAACTGCTCATATTTGTTTGAGGATTTGCAATACACCGTAATCCGCTACCGTAATCGCGTCGGTGCATCGCGAGCCGCTTGGTGATAGTTGGCCCGGAAGCGCTTGCAGCTCCTCTGTGTCCATTTTGGTCAGTTTCAATTCCAGCATAGTGCGATCTTCTCCAATAATATTCCATCCACAATGAAGATTGTGAATATATTGCCCTAAATGTTTAGTATCTTTAACTAAAACTTCACTAACCTGCTCATTTGTTCAGCGTATAGTGCTCAATATCTTGGAGTTAGTGTTCAACCTTCATAATAACAACCCATTCATGTCATATAATTAAGCCCTTGAAAAGGAATGCGGTAAAAATATTTTTCCGTTATCCCAACTGATCTGCCGCTTAAAAAATAATCAGGAAGTGAAAGATAATTGCGAACTAGATTGAACCTTTTTGCAGCAATATCACGATACCACTTTGGAGACTCTGGAGCCATTAGCGGAGTTGTGAGCAGCGTACTAGGGAGGCTAATAAACAAAAATCTGCAGTGTCACTACTACTTGCTACTTGTGTCAATATTATTGACGTTATTATAAGGGCGCGCGAGATCAAACCAGCGACTGGTCCAGTGTGCATTATGGAGCACATCGAGCCACTCTGCTATATACGCGGACTTATGAATTCTCATAAAATGCATAAAATGAATGATGTAGGGCGAACCTTGGGCGTCAAGTGGTGGTCTAAGTGTCTGCCAATCACCAGTCGCCTTCAATTTGCCGCCACAACCGGATTTTTCACCTGTTTTGGAAAATATTTTAATCAAGTGCTTAAAAGTGAAGCATCACTAGGTAAAAATATTGAATACAATTTATTTCACTACTTTTCATAATCCGTTTTCACATGTACTCTGGAGATCCCAGCATTTCATCTATCCCCTTCGTTGTAACTCATCCATCAACCACTAAGATCCTTTAAATTTTTGCTTGTTGATTCGACCGCAGCTTGAGAGTTTTCGTCTTCTTTATGAATTTAGTTAAACATCGATTTAATCGATTCTCCCTCGATCACTGGGTAGTCGGGAGAAAGCGTTCCCACTGATTGTAAAGAGTGAACTTTTCCGAGACACAAGACCGGTACCAGTTTCCTGAACCTGGCGAAACAACGGGCATGATAGGACTGGATGGAGTTGAACTAGCTCCGTGCTCGTGGTGATCGAGTATCACCACTATCGAGCTACGTGCATTCGGATTAACGTAACATCAACAAGAGCAGTGTATAAAAAACAAAACATTCTCAATTGATCAGTCCAAAGCTACTCTGGTAAGAATTCGCTGAACCCAGAATGGTGGACGATAGAGTAATGAAGACGAATGAAGAGCACGACTGAATCAGCAGGCATGTGCGTGGTACAGCACCTCTGAATTAGCCTAAGCAAAGAAAATTTAGGCAAGCCCATCCAGACGTCTTTCTAATCTCAAATTATTCACCCGCTATTACCTTTGTGATGATAGCCTCTTAACAACTCGAGAAACGGACAGAAATATAATACTATATCCACCTATGGGTTCAGCGCACCACCGTCGCAAATAGGTGTTCAGGTTCCCGAAATACAATCCAGCAGTTTAACCTTCTCTGTACAAGTCACCTTTTCCATGAGGTTAACATAATCGATTTTTTCTCATTCATTTCTCTAACCTCAGCAATAATTACCTAGAGTCGCTATGACGACAATCTTAAATCCACCCTTGCTCAACGTGTGATCTGTGACGAAATGCACCACGAGATTATTCGATTTCGTATAAAGTCGTCCTGGTGGCATCCTGAACACAAGTTAAACATAGGTCGAAGTTGTGGGGAAATTTTCAAGACTCAATTACCAAATCTCCCAAGGTCAAAAACATGTCTGAACTATAATCTAACTATCCTATAACAGAAAGCTATTACATTTTATTACACAATTATCACGCTGATGACGCTTAAGACTTCAACGATGCTTAAAGAAATTGCTCAAAAATTTCAACTAGTATAATCAAAAGAGGATAGGATTCCGCTAATGTCGTGAAGACTTCGATACTTGGACGGCCCGTCCTCACTGGTTGTGTGGGCTCCAGCACGATCTCCATTTTTCAAAGTTTTGGTGGTTTAGCCAACGTGGTTCCCTGGAGTCCCGAGGTTAGCTTAACCAAAGTCTGCCCCAGGTCGTCACCACTACGGGTAGTCGCCGCCTTCGTGGATCAGAGCGAGATTTGCCACCTAGCGACTAGCTTCATACCAGGATGATGGTGGATCCTGGTATTGGCGAAGACTGAATCGTTATTATTAAAACAGATCGTTTTAATTTCGTCTGCCTATGTGAAAAATTCACATTCATTTTTATTTATCGGCTCAAATAGAAACCGCAGTGACAAGTTCGCCTAAACTCTCTCGTTGTATTTTACGTCTCTCACTAGTCGTTCATATGCCTCATCTAATATTTTCCTCTACTCCCTATGCCAATTCTGTCGTACTCGTTATATCACCAGTTTTTCACCACTGCAGATTCGCCACAGTTAAAACTATTCACTACACAACACTACTTTTCTCTGTTCGTTGTTCCCTAATCTGATCTGGAACATATCGTTAGGCAATTCTAAATAACTCTGTCATTTAATAGAAGAGGTCAACGGTAAAGTAGGCCAAGCAACAAGCTGTAGCAGAGTGGTACAGATTTTGCGAGGTCATCAATAAGACTCACTGAGATTTCGGTCCGCATGTTTTTCCCATACTGGTACCGTTTAGATCAATACCATCATGAAGTTCGACGAAGTCCATTCCACAACCGCTGGAGAATTCAAGTTCCATAAACTCATACCTCAAATTATTAGCGTTCATAAAATTCTTGGAACATTGAAAGTATTATTAATGAGAGGCTGCTAACTTTACAGAAATCACTCTGCCGTCGGATGCTGTAACATTCCATAGACAGTCGAGATTATGAGGGTAGTCGAGTGGAAAGGCCGGCGAGGAAATCGTTGCCAAGTATCCAGATGACTCATTCAGTTCTATTCGACCACCACATTCTGCAATATACATAAACATTTTTTAACCAAATTTGAAGATAAGCCTACAGACTGCTATTCCCAGTATTTTAATCGTAATTGTTTAGAAATACAAAACTGTTGTGTATATTGATCAGTCCTTAGCGGTGAGCAATGCGTTTAATCTTTTCCTAGAACCACCACCGCATGGGTTACTAACGGCATATTTGACCCTTACAATGAACTTTCCGGATCCTATTGATGTGTCAACTCAGCATTTTTATTTCTTCACACAAATGCAACAGCACTTTTCTGAGCCTTCAGGGATAGGTGTGGCCAGCAATGTGCACGGGATTGAATAATCTAGCTCTGATTCCCGATTGCTAATTCTTCGTAGAATTCTGGCACAGCCCTATTACAGTATTTTCAGGTCTTCGTGGTACGCATTGGTCAACCATTTTGAGAAAGGAGTGATTTTCCAGAAAAGACCGGTACAAATTTTTCGACACTCGCAGGAGGGCAAGTTTGATTGGTCTGCGGTGGGGTCGAGCGCACGACCATACGTGTACTGTACGGTGTCCGTAACTCCGCGTCATCCTTACTATAACATCGCTAACTTTCCATACTACGAAAGTTTTCTATTATGATCTTCTAAAAAAAACTATTTTATGACTTACTGTCAATGGAATAGCTGAATTGAAAACCTCTGTGTAATTTTTTTGGACCATATATGTATGATTGATTCGTGATGAACCGTAATCCAACTGCACCCTATAACAGAAAATTACTAAAGAATTTAGAAACACTTACAAAAATCAACCAAAAATCTGTCGGGTGCTCATGTAAATTGTAAAACTTAGAAATGGACAAAATAGAAAAACACCACTAATTCTTCTGTTATTTCTTGCTGGTCCGTTTTGTGTGGTCAGACTCAGCCCCAATTTCGGGGCGAAGTGCAAAACACGTTATTATGATAAAAGTGACCTTAATCGCTACCGCTTCTTCACTCATCGGTTCTCCACCGCAGTACGATGTCACTATCCTCTTATTGATGACGTCACGTACTTCTAGGTAATCGCTAGCACATGGCTGGCGTGAATAGTCCACTAAAACTAACTGCTACATGTAAAATATAAATGAATCCATGCACAATGATACGAATTTAAAGTCGACTATTCATATTTTAAAATATGATTTTAAGGATAAAGCCTTGATCTGTAATGCGTTGTGCGTTGGATTCCATTCGTAAGATGGTACAGGTTATTGAATCCATATTTAAGTTGTACATTAACCCATACGGTGCACATACCAGTTTTTCTCCACCAAAGGACCTGCCTGGTTTAGAGCGTAGAATCGAGCAATATATTATAATACTATAGTGTACCTCTACGATTGCACTACAGTCACTTCACAAAACAATCTGTTTTTTTTTGCAAAAAAATAGCGATAAGAGGTGGGAATGTCATCCAGACATGACGACTGCCTTCTTGTGAATGTGCTTGTTTCTAGTGTTGTATTTTATGAGAAACAAAAAGGGTCTTTGGCTAAAAATCAGCTCACTCACTTTTCGAATCGGATAAATCGAAGTCGATTAGTTTGACAACAATCACAGATTGTTCAGCATCGCCTTCTGGCGCTATCAGATATTCACAGACATTGTTCAGATTCGGATAGTAGGATGGATAGTTAGGTGACGAAATCACTCCATGGATTAAGCGGAAAGCTGCACCGCACTCTACACAGAGAAAAAATCAGTCATTATATATAAATATAAAACACGTAGTAGTTCCCAGGATCGACTTTCTATTAACCTCGGCATTGGAATATGAATGCGTCGTTTCGAAAACTAAGAGAAAGTACCCCACTAGGCACGCATAGGATACAAAAGCATAGCGGAGACGATTTTGGAGTAAAAGTCAATATCCTTGCACAGGAGTCCAAAACATAGCGCGAAAACTTCTGGAGGTTTTTTGGATAAATGCCAAAAACCCTACAATGAATAGCAGGGATGAATGCCCGGAGATCATACGCGACCTGATCCCGTATGTTCGCATCGATTTTTGATGTGGGATGGTGCAGTCGTCAACCACATGCGACTATAATCAGCTGTTCTAAACTTCCTCATTGTAAGTCACGAAAAAGCGGTGGGTTTTTTCGAGAAGTTGTTGATCATTTAATTACCAAGAGCCTTTCGTCTTTTTGTAAGTGTTATTGAAGCGTTTGGCCTAGTAGATTGTATATCAGCATACCCTTCCAGGCTCTGAAGAAGACGATACTGCCGAAACGTCAGCTAGCGTTGTATTGTATTGTTTTTCTATGGAAGTAAATGTATGCTGCTTAAAACCTCGCGATTGCTGAACAAGAAAACGACGCATTCATATAAAAACATGGTTGAAAAACTTATCATTTACACGGCGCAGATGAGCATCAAGAGTCTGCAGAAACATTAAAACTATAAAAAATATCTGAAAAGGTCTTTTACCAGCTTTCCATTCTGCACGGAAACCTGCTGCTGTAGTTGCTTCGTCAGATGTGAAGTTGAGCCTGTAAAAGCGATAAAAGGATAAATGAGAAGGCGATCAGCGTTCATCAGTACCTGAACGGTGCGTCACACATCTGCTACGTTGTTTCACAAACTATTAAAAGCATATCTGCGCTATACCATGACCTTCGACGTGTACTGATATGTAAAGTCAGTGTTGTTCTCTTTCCACACAACTCTGGTATTAATTCCCCGACCATGAAGGGATTGAAGGGGTTGTGAGGCAGGGAAGCGGGATCGAACGAGTGGCCAATTCAATACATTTTTCAGACCACCTCTTCCACTGTACAATATGCACCCAGTAAAAGCAAAATGTACGGTTACTATGTAGTCACTTTTTATCTGCTACCGATTCTTTTTTCATGGGAGGGTATAAAAAAAACAAAGCTCTCAGCTATGATCAATCTCGGAGTGATGCGCCATGCATCCGACTTCATTAAGCATCGTTCAAGGTGATTGAATGCATATCTGGCCTTTACAATGACCCGTGGTGACCTGCCAATGTATGGAGCCAGTGCTGGAAGCCTAGCTAAGAGTAAACCAATACCAGGATCTACCACAGACTTTGGCCAAGCTGCCCTCGGAATTCCAGGAAAGTACAATGGCTTAACCAGCAATTCTCCGAAAAGTGGTGATTATGCTGGAGTCCGCACAACTGGTGCGGACGCGCCGTTCGAGTACCAAGTATCAAGGAAATCTGAGCAAACACAGTCAAAAGTCTCGTAGTGAGAACATGAAGAACCACAGTGGGTGTAAGCGCTATATATAGGATGAGTATAACCAGTGCAAACTAATAAGCCTATATTTAACGAAATGGACTTTGTTTTCCAATGGCTTCTTTAGAATAAAATGTTCATTGCAGATTTTCAGAGATACGCTTCCATACCTGATTCGATTACTTTCAGAACGGAATGATTTCGGCAGAGCTATGCCACAAAGTGGTGAGTGCCTTTCTTCATCTTCAAAATCGAAAAAGTAGTCACCAATTGGTGCCAACGCTTTTGACGAATGCTCCTGTGATATCTAAATACGATTGTTATTAGTATACTCATTTTCCTCGCGTTTTTTTCCCTTAAGGTGGTTTCAAACTTGTGAAGGAGTAAAACATAACGACGACCCGTTTTCAATTGAAATACGATAATTTCTTCCAGAGCATCGTCGAATAAACTAAGGAGACTGTTGTCCCATTTACACTAACAATGATTTGTTAAGGAAAAAAATTGTGATATTCAGAAAACTATTTACTACTTCGTTCAGTGTGCTTACTGTTAGTGAGTCCTTTGCACAGTCTTCTGATGGAGCGATATCGAAGTGAGTGAATTGTAAATGAATATGATATCCAAGCGGAACCTTAAAGCAATTATTTTAATAAATCGATTGATTTTTTCCACCTCGAAGAACATCAACGAAAAATTATTTTCACTTCAGATCCTCATTAAACCGTTTGATTGACCGTTCACTATGTTCTCAAAAACACTGTTCCCCATGTGTCTAATAAATTTCCCTTTAAAATGAGAGACAGGCGAAACGAAGGACCCGCATGGTGAGGTGGTGAACGCGTTACTCCCCGGAAAGGACAATGGCGCGTTCGTCCCCCACCATAGACACCTGCGATCCAGAGTTTTGCAGATAACTCAGCAACGTTGTGGTTGTATTTCGCTTAGTAACCTGCCATGAAAATAATAGAAGGCAGAAAACAAAACGTTAAACAATGCAAGCTTTCAAGTCCAATTTTCTATTAACCTCGGCATTGAATGAATATATCTTTCTATTTCTGTTCAGCACGGACGAGGTGCTATTTTATGTTATGAAGTTGACGTTAAATTTCGGATGTTTACGAATGAAACTTTCAAAGTCCTTAATCACTATCGCGCTAAAAGATACTGCTCCAACCTCACTGAAATACAAAAACGTGGTATACGAGAGGTACGAGAGCTGATAAGATCAAAAAACATAAGACTATCGGTTAGTGATAAGGGTGGAGAGTTCGTTGTAATTTCCCATCAGTTAGATGTTGTGATAACGGAAAAGCACGTTGAAGATGCTTCCCTTTATCGTCCGTCGTCTGAGAAGGAATTTAAAAGCCAATACCGAAAGTTAAACAACGAATGGGTTAAAGTGGCAAGAGCGGCCGGGTTAAAACCATCAGTTATTTCTCATCTCAAAATCCACTTACCAACATGTCCCGTCTTGTACTTACTTATCAAAACCCATAAGTTAGTATCCAGCGATGATCTCGTGTCTATCGATCCATCGCTATTTAAGGCTAGACCTATCATTAGCTGCGTGGACGGGCCAACAGATAGAATAACGTGGTTAATAACCCTAATACTTACTCAGTTGTTGAAGTACATTCCAGCTCATCTAACGAACACCAAAATGTTCCTGGATCGTCTACGTAACGCGCGACCCAACAACGCGCACGTGGTGGAGTCCTTCGACGTCACTGCCCTCTATACGAACGTGTCGAATGACTCCGCTATGCAAGCCATCCGCGAGCTTCTTGTACAACACGAAGGAGCAATAAACATGTACGGCTTCCCAAATCAGCAGTTGATGACACTCTTAAAGGAGTGCCTGAACTGCTCAATCTTCAGATGGTCCGGGAGGTATTACGCACAAATGAGAGGACTGGCAATGGGACAACGACTGACACCAAGCCTTGCCACTGCATTCATGTCTAAGGTGGAAGCGCCAGTAATCGACCTTGGTCCGTTACTCTACTGTAGATATATAGATGACTGCTTGGTCATTTGTTCAACGCATGAAGAAATCGACAGATGTTTCGAGTTGTTGAACACACAGTCAGACTATATTAAATTCACCCGAGAGAAACCGAAAGAAGACTGGCTTCCATTTCTGAACGTGCAAATTAGCCTATCAGAAAACGGCTACATTACGAAGTGGTATCGAAAGCCAAGTAGTAAAAACATCCTAGTTCATTACCTCTCCTCTCATCCCTCTCACACGAAAAGGGCGCTTGTGAGAAACATGTATCGAACGGCTACCAGCGTGTGCGCAGGGAGACAACAGAGAGAGGAGTCCCGGAACTTGGCGCGGCAAATAGCCATTTTTAACGGCTACGAAACCGTAGCTCCAGATAGGTGTAGAGGAAACCACAGGTACCCCAACGATAACTCTAGCGACAACAAGGTCCCGTTTATACTCTTTATTTCAAATGAAGTAAGCGCAGCTATAAAACGCTGCTTAAGAAGGGCGGGTTTAGAGAATTCGGTACGCGTAGTTGAAATACCACCGAGTAACCTTAAGCGCCAGCTAGTTCGTAACCGCCTATATGACCGTCTACGTGGAACTCAAAACAGCATAATTTGCCCCAGTGGTAGAGACGGTGATTGCATGAGTTCGGGTACAGTCTATCTGATCTCTTGTAAGGCGTGCGGGGACGAATACGTTGACGAAACGGGTAGACCACTCTGCATACGTATAAAAGAACACCTAGCCGGCAAAGGTAAGCTAAGTACTCCACTAGGTACGCATAGCACGCAGAAACATAACGGAGAAGATTTTGAAGTAAGGGTTACGATCCTCGCGCAAGAATCGAGAACACAAGCGCGCAAAACTCTAGAGGCATTCTGGATAAATTCCAAGAATCCGAAAATGAACCGCAGGGAGGAATGCCTTGTTATCACGCGTGATATTGGACAGTATATAAACCTGTTATTCTGATGGGAGAGGCACATTACGCTTCCATGTGAATTCTGTGCGGTCGGTCTTCACGCGACATATTCAGTGGAAGACTAATAGAAAGCGGTGAGTGTGCAGAGCTATGCTAAATGTGATTGAAATCTTGGTTTAGAGTTTTCTCTGTTTGGTTATGGAGGTGTTTGGCCGAGTGGATTGCTGTCAACTTGACCCTTCCAGGCTCTGAGGAAGGCGAAATCCGCCGAAACGTCAGCTCGTGCGTAAATAAAGAAATAAAATAGCACCTCGTGCTTGCTGAACAGAAGTAGAAAGATATATGCAATCAATGCAAACTTTGTTGAAATTTCTAAAAATGTTTTTAAAAATTGTTAAATTTAAAAAATAAGAGTGCCTTTTAATTGAATATGATAAAACAATATGATGTCAATGAAAACAATAAAAACGACCATTCTATTCCACTCTGCAATGCAATTGGAGCGCTCCAGCCCGGCTATCTCAGGACTCCTGGAAAAATCGATCCGACCAGAATTATACGACATTCAAAATGAAATGAAAATCCTCAAGCAGCAACCGAACCCACATGTAAAAGCTGGAAGATCTTCGTGTACAATAGATGCGAGGAAACTAATCGATTGTGAGAAGTGCTGGGATCCGCACAATAGACGTGAAGTTGGATCAAATAGAATAAAATAAAAAAAAACAAAAAAAAGCCGTTGGAAATTATTTCAGGAACATTAGCTGTAGGTTTGCGACTGCTATAAAGCAGGAGCCTCTCATATGGAAGTTTGGACCTCTTCTAATGTTAATAAAAGGAAAAATCATTTCACTTTTTTACATGACCCGTCATCACATCTACTGTGCGGATCCCGGTACTTCTTGCAATGGATTCCTTTTTCCCGTATTCATAATCCGCTAATGTCTTCGAACATTTCGCAAGTTATTTTGGCTGCTGCGTAAGGATTTTGTCTCATTGAGGTCACAGAATGCTGCTCGAGTCGATTATTCCTGCAATGTTCGTGATGGCCGAACTAAGGCGTTCCCACCTGGACAGAATGAGAGCAGGAGCCAAACCAGCACCTTGCTTCCTGTTGGACTGAACCACTAATCACTGTGCTAACTTCGCTTCCCACAAGAAGACAAAAAATAGAAAGTGCAAATAAAAATAAAAAACCAACGAAAGATGAAGAAATTTGAGGTTATTTCACTTCGTTTTATTATATTTGGTATACCATTAGTAATTTCAAGAAAGCTTAAGGCGTATTATGATGATCCCGACATGAAAAGTGAGAGCTTCTGATTTTTTTCCACCTAACTCAATTAGAAAGAAAGCAGCTCGATAATTGAATAATTGAGTTACAAGCTACACACCTGAATATCCCACAGACATTCTTCGTCGTTACCGTAATCTTGTGGCCAATTAGGTGAATGCACCATTCCGGTCATCGCATGTGTTGTGAAACCACACTCTTCAATTTCGTAATGAATCAGGTTTTACGGATAGATGACACAAAGAGTTAGAAAATTTTTTTATGAGAAACGTGAAATTGGAGAAAAAGGAAAAAAAGAATTTGGAAAAAGATCTATTAAATAACGAATATGGATAAAAAGATAAAAGGACAAAGCTTTCGGCGTTGATCAATCCCTGAAAGATGCACCATGCATTCGACTTCATTAAGCATCGTTTGGAGGTGATTGAATGCATATTTGGACTTTACAATAACTCTCAGAGACCTAATGATATACCGAGCCAGCGCTGCTATCCTCCTAGACAAGTCTGATACTATTTTGCCGCCCCCGGAGCGACAGAATGCTTGGTGAGCCACGGGGACCGGGATCGATCCCACGTGTGTGTCGCAAGCTTGCCTCGCTTCTCCTTCACAGCCTTAGTTGTCCGTCGAAATTAACCTGCACAGACGTATGCGTTTGTCCGTTCGTCGCTCTAGAAGAGTTTCCAGAGTTGTGAAGGAAGCCTTGTAGACATGATCGTTTGCCCGTGGCTTAACAGACGGCGGTTGTCACCTCGGCAGACATCCTTCTTTCACTGCCCACTCTTATTACGCTTCTCGCTTTGCGAGTTCAGCAGCAAAAAGTAACAAGTCAACACTAAGACAACTCAATCCACGTTCGTCAATTGGTCTGCAGCTCATCAACCATTATTTCGTGGTAGCATAGGGCGTGTGGGTGCTGTTCGACAATAAAGTGGTGACCACCTAATGCATCGCAGTCAACGACGAGGATCGCTGGTTCAGAACTTTGCAGGTTTCCAGATTTGTTCCATTGACGGCGGTCAATGAAGCAAAGTGGGATTATGAGCAGTGCATTCGCTAACGCGTGGTCGGTATTGGCGAGTACAACTGCTATCCAACAAGTACTCATAGTATATGGGTACTTGGATGTAGTTTTCGTTTCTCTTGTTATCAGAACATCCTACTAGAATGCCTCCTTGACACTTGTTGGCATAAGCTTGGATTATAGTAGTGCTAGCTCAAATACACAGCCGTTTAAGCGAAAAATATTTACAAAGTGCCGCTATAGCTTTCTAATGAGAAAGTTAACTAATGTAACATAAAAACTTTTGATGGAAGCAAAATGACGTAAGTACGTGCACAGTTTTAACCGTTTTATTTACTGCCTACTCTTTTTAATGTCAGGGTATGTTGCGAAATATAACTTCAATGATGCTGAAATATTCGCAAAACTCCGGACCGCGGGTGTTTGCGGTGGGGAACGAATGCGCTATTGTTCTTTCCGGGGAGAAATGCGTTCACTACCACAGCATGTGGGTCTTTCGTTTCGCCTCACTTTGAGCTAGTTCTATCGATCTCTGCCACCAGCAATCACCCATGGTGTAGTGGTGAACGCATTACTTCCCGGAAAGGAAAATAGCGCGTACGTTCCCTACCGCAAACACCTGTGGTCCGGAGTTTTGCAAATATCTCAGCATCATTGAAGTTAAGTGCACAGTTATAATGTTCTTAAAAGAAAAAAACGTGTTTATTAAATAATTAATTCTAAAACGCTGATCACTTTTCGGGACAGAAAAGCCCTCTTTTGTAGCGTTTTCGAAACTTCATAAATCGTTAATTGGTATAAATTCACAAAGAAGGGTCTTTAGGAACTGACAGAACTATCCGCTAACAGGAAGAACAAGCATGATTTTTTCGTACCAGCGCTTTCCAGCATGAATTCATATTCAATTCGCCATCCGCGATATTCATTACTCGAATCGGTGGTCCACGTCAACGTGAGGTAACGCGAGCGTGACTTTACCACCTATAAATCTTTTCCGATCACTAGAAAACTTGTACACGTACTTGTTATAGATACTTTAAGAAACTGTTCACTCACCTTGAAACGGTCTTTCAGCAATTCGTCTTCAGTTTCGTTGCCGTAACGTCGTTCACGTGAACAATATCTGTGGATTACATCATTGTCCCGACCTCGAGTAGATCCAAATTATTTTAAGCACATAAGAGACATACAAATTATATTTTTTTTTCAACGGTAAAATGTATTACGACCAGACAGACTGGATGAATTCTTCTACCAAGCAGGTATTTTTCTAGTTTCTAAAACTTTTAAACCATCGAAAATTCTCAGGTCGACTAGTTGTCTATGTTGAGACGATAGTAGGAATGAGTGGGGAAGTATGCTGGAAGCAGCTTGGGCTTGCATCCAACAAAGAAGCTTAGCGTTTAGTACGACAGTGCTCGGCATATTACCAGAGAGGACACTCCGAAGATTTAGCTCAGGGTGAAATTCAAGAAAGAACCGCCACGTTCATCTCGGCAGAGTTAAACATACTGCCAGTGATTATACTCAGTCACCCACAACAGAACACCCAAAAAGCTTAGCACCCTATACCGTAATGTTGCAAAAAAATGAGTATAAAGGGCGTAATCTTAACCTTCTTATTTACTGCCTATTCTTTTTAACGGCAGGGTATTTTGCAAAATATAACTATTCTAATGCTGAGATGTTTGTAAAACTCCGGACAGCAGGTGTCTGCGGTGGAGAACGAATGCGCTGCTGTCCTTTCCGGGAAGTAATGCGTTCACCACCAGACCATGGGTGATTGCTGATGGCAAAAAGATCGATAGAGCTAGCTGAGAGACAGGCGAAACGAAGGACCCGTATGATGTGGTGGTGAACGCGTTACTCCCAGGAAAGGAAAATAGCGCGCTCGCTCCCCACCTCAGACACCTGCTGTCCGGAGTTTCAGCATTACAGTAGTCATAAAGGGCGTAATTGGAAAAGGATGACGTTGCCTGAATTCCTCAAGCCAGTAGAGACTAATGGGCAGTTCAGGCATGTAAATGCGGCGAATGGAGAATTTGCTGGTAATCGCTCAACTTTCTAGGATGATTAGTGGGATTATAAATGGTACAGTTGCTGACATATCGTTTTTAAATGATGATCTTATGTGAATCACAAATTTTTCAATACCTTCTCCGACGACCAACACATCAGCACCACATGCCGTGGTGCGTTCAATGTCCATGTCGGTGATTGTCATCTAGAAAGAAATAATGACTAATAAAAGTTTTGCTTCCTTCAAGTAACTGTAGAACATACATTCACCTCGGCTTTACTTCCTTTTATTTCGTTATGCTTTTCTCTTTGTTCGTTTTTTTTCTTCGTTTGTTTTTTGCTGCCAACTTTGAAAACATAAATGCACCTCAATTAGGTCGAAATTTTTGGTTTTAGGAACGAATACAATCCATTCGTTCATTGCTCTATAAAAAGTTTAGAAGTTACCGTTAGCGTCATTCTTATTCGTATATAATCATCGTTATTATTATTACCAATATTAAGGTGGCAGATAGTACAATGATAGAGAGATCGTCCATTATGCGGAAGGACCAATCTTCCCGGGTGCTGGCTCAATCCCACCTCGAGCCAGCCAACTTTCATCCATCCGGGATCGGAAAATTAATTCCAAACTGATCTGAAACCGCCTTTCTCCCTGTAATCCACTAATGACGGCCTAGCACCGCTAATCGAGGTTTCCAGGGAGAATCCACCTGGCCAACACTCAACGACATTGACGACGAAGACTAAAAACCTTATGCCGCGGCCGAACGCATATACGTAATAAGTTCGAAGACCTTCGTGGATGATGGATGGGAGAAAATGAATCGAATATAAAAAGTGCTGAGACCCGCAGTATATAGTGTGGTGTTGGGTTTTATAAAAAGAAGAAACTATTATTGCTGTTGTTATTATCACTTATATGCACTATTCCTGGACCAGGTGTTTAATTCGAGCGGCCCTTTCAATAAGTAGAAGTGATCAAATGCATCCTTGCTCCGTAAAAGAAAGTGCTAAAGGGTTATATATCACCGTTATGTTCCTTTTTTTGGAAAGGTTTGGTACCATGTGACGATCTCGTATGGCAGAATCGACTAGTCCCGGGAGCGAGATCGAACAGATATCGTGTGTATTGCAAGGCACATCTAACCATTGCGCTGCAAGCTCCAGTGTATTGGCCATGCCAATGCACGAAGAAAAGCATGTCCGATTATCGCTCAGAACCAGCAAGCCTCTATCATTACGATAAAACAACTAACTAGTGACCCTGATGTTATCGCCATTTTCTGTCATTATCGTGGCAAGGAAAACAGTCAGTTCAAACTCTGCGCAGGACCGGCATATTCATCCGCGTGACCAGTTGCGGCCAGTTCAGGCGATGGTCGGATGAGGTCCATACCTTGCTCAACGCATTTCAACCTAGTTTCGATTTGAGTTGAATTTCACACCAGATGTTTCAGGTAGTACATTTTTTATCGGTGTAAAGCAGATTGTCGTTACGAAGAAAATATAGTAGATCTTTGTGCCAAGACAATCGACTGACCACTGCCCCTTAATCAGAACAATGTCACGTGATGTCACTTTGTTTTATTGACGCGACGTTCTATTCAATTGGGTAGAACTTTAATCGACACTGCTACAAACAAGACTACAAAATCGTTACAATCTTCAACATTTAGCTCATCTTGATTTAGCAGGGCTTCGATGATGGAGGTAAAGTCGCTAAGACAGTCAGAACACGAGCATCCACCCAAACCATATAAGCTGATACAGATAATTGGTGATGTTTATACTATATTTTACCGGTCAGGATACTTCATGCGTACAAAGTAAATACGGTGCGTGCACCTCAGTGGTTAGAGGTGTCTTGAAAGGAAAATGTAGTCGTTGCTTTGATGCTACACCATGAGCAAATCAAGTTTGCTTTCCCCCGAGGTAGAGAAATTTGTGCCAGAATCAAGGCAATAAGAGTTTCGCTAGCCTATCCATCCTGATGTGTCCTTATAGACTAAATATGCACTCAAACATCACTGCAGTACTAATGGAGTTAAATTCACGATATACTTCTACGGCGCTGATCAGAGCCGAAAGCACTACGCTTCACTTTTTATGAAAAGTAAATGCATAATTCTTATCTATTAGAAGAATAAAATTCTTGATCCGACGTTTTTTGAGATCCCAACCATTCACGTTGAGAACAGTAACGTTCCTAGTATTCTTTCCAATTCAGTATCGTTCTGAGCAAAATGAGTGCAAAGGAGCTCAGGAACAACGAGTACTGCGACGAGTTGAACAGAGATCTCAGTAAAGAAAGGGTGGCGATATTCTTCTAGACCAATCAACATCTGATTTGCTATGCAATTCCCTCTTTATGTTTGATTCAATAACAGCATTACTACAGCTTTCCACCAACATCAGTAATACTTGTGATTGTGTCGACTTTTGACCTGAATGACATCGATGGATGGAATATTTACTCGCGCGCAACAGGCTTATGTTTAACTAGGCATTGTTGAACAATGTAGAAAAAACTTATTGGAATCATTTTAACCTTTCAAACGACAAAACGACACCTTTTCTTTAGCTGAAGACCGAAACGAGCGAGTAAACACTGCTTTTCAGACCTATATATTCTTTTGTAACAAACAAAACTACTGGTATATGAACGGCTTTGAATGCAAACATTAAGGCCTGACCGAAGTTCAACTGTATTTCCGCTACGAAGAAGTTGTACATTATGCTAAGGACTGTATGCAAAATAGTCAAGAATGAATGATTTGTTATCCACTTCTTCTCTACACCAGTATCTCGGATTATTAATAAGCTTATATGGGACTAGTAAAAAATCTATTCATGATAGCAACTAGGTTAGTAGTAATTCGAAAGACCGACTTTCGATTAAGCCAGGCATTGTATTATATTATATATTCACAATCTTAACCCTTTTATTTACTGCCTTTTTTTTTAATGGCAGGGTATGTTGCGAAATATAACTCGTATGTAATACTGAGATATTTGCAAAACTCCGGACCGCAGGTGTACGCGGTGGGGAACGAACGCGCTATTGTCCTTACCGGGGAGTAGCGCACTTCACCACCACACCATCCGGGTTCTTCGTTTTGCCTGTCTCTCAGCTAGTTCTATTGATCTTTTGCCATCAGCAATCACCCGTCAACGGGATTGATCTGGGGAGCCCAAATCGGCATTGAACCCAGTTAAACTGTGGCTTAGTTATAATCACAATCTTAACCTTTTTATTTACTGCCTTTTTCTTTTTAATGGCAAGGAGTTTTGCAAATATCTCAGCATTATATAGGAGTATTATATACGAGATATTATATATTGTTTTATAACTTCAACGATGTTAAGCTATTCTCTTGACAAGTGATGCTGGTGGTATCATTAGGGTAAAAAGACTCGGTTGAGAGAAAGTTAAACCAGAGGCCTCGGTGGTGGTTAACGCGCCTCAGGAAAAGATAATCGCGGTTCGATCGGGGATGGCGTCCAAGTTTTGCAAATATCTCAGCATCATTGTGATTGTATTTCACACCATACCTGCCATGAAAAAAGTAATAGGCAGTAAGTTAAAAATTATACACTATTATCTTATAACTCTTATTATAACTTTGCATTATTCTAGGAAAGGCACGGGTAGACACATGCTCGTTGACTCGATTCTTACCTTAGGCTCACCTAGGCTTCTATCCTTCAGGGTCGGCAGTTTCGTACCAGACTTGTCTGGGAGGATAGTAGCACTGACTCAATAGATCGGTAGGCCACCGCGGGTCTTGTATAGGCCAGGTATACATTCATTCACCTTTAACGGTACTTGATGTAGCCGAATGCATTGCATCGTTGCATTGAATGCATCGCTCAGGGATTGACCAATGATGAGACGCTTTATCCTTTATCTTTTCATTATCTTAAAAACTCTTTTTTTTCAGCTGACATGAGATCATTAACACATATTTTGATGTCCGATAGCTAAATTACGGCAACTTCACCTTATTCGGAAAACAGACGCATTGTTATATAGTGCAATTATTGTAACGTTCTTTATTAGGATTTTTATTTATTGTTAATAAAGACGGGACTATTTACGACACGTATAGGCTTTGAAGAAGGCGAAGTCGTCGAAGCGTTAGTCACCAAACATCAAAATACGTGTTGACAACCTCATGTCGCCTAAAAAGCGATCGTTGATAGAATCTGGTTAGTGTTCTGGTTAGATTAGTTTCAGGAACCATTCTGAGGAACTCAAGACGTCACTTGGATACATTAACTCCACATTGTGGGGACACAACTCAAGTGAATATGGCTCTGATGACTGCAATATCATCGGAATTCGGCAACAATGATTATTTCTCACAAAATCTCGTATAACCTTATCATTCTATCGACATCCTAATTATTCGTGACAAAGTAGACCTAAGGTCTTTTTAAGAATAAGAACTGAGAAGAGTCCCTTTCACCTATGTTTACTGAAGTAGAGTAAATCTAATCGTTCGTTGGAAATGTTAGTGAACTACATCCCGTCGTTTACCTTGCTGATGACGACAACGAGCCCATACTTATAATGTTTATCTACGTACTCATACATATGTGGTGTTTATCACAAAAAGTGCAAAGGAATTCCAAGTGAACCAGCCCCCCTAAGGATAAATGCGGTGTCGATGAAACCCAGTGTCCGATCTATCAGGCCCAGCTGTCTACTGTTTGCACCTGTCGACCAACTTCTCCTTAGTGGTTTTATCAAAGAAGTCGACTAACTTCAGTAAATAGTGCCGTTTAAGCAGAATTTACACTTTTTTAAGAATAGAAAGCAAAACAATCTATTAGAAGACTAGACAACTTTTTTATACGATCGAATTCTCACCTAACAGTTGAACGCTAGCGTCCTGAGGTATTCTGCTACTGCTAAACCTTTGCCAAAAAGCCTACCACTAGAGTTTTCTCAGTGTTCCTCAAATGATGACTAGGAAACAGTTCGTTTCTAGAAAATGCGACGGTTAAAAGAATCCTTCAAGTTCCAAATTAAAAAACCCTGGTCTTTTGTCGAAGCGCTATCGAGTTCTCTAACTAAACAATTTAGAAAACGTTACTTTCACGTTTTCACAATCCATCGAACAATTATTTTCGGATTTCATCGAAATGGTCCAGACTAACCATGTTATTCGTCTCATGTGTCAAATGTCAAATTAACTGTTTACCATCGACAAGACAGCGCTAAAAGAGGCAAAGTAAATAAGAACGAGAGGCACTAGAAGAAGGAGTTTGTTTAGGTTGAACGTGAGCAGTTTTTTCAACGTCAATCGCTGAGCATCATGTTTCCTACCAAACTGTGAGTTCTTATTGTGGCTCTTAAAAGATTTCATATATTTAGTGATGTACAGAAAAAAGTCAATTTGTAAGACTTCCATCGCTGTAGAATATTTGCAAAGAAAGCATTCCAAGGAGGCGGATATCGACGAAGGAGTTAAGCATCACAAAATTGATGTATTAAGTGCTAGCTATTGCAATCAACAGGTTCACAACCGCAGTCACTAACGCCACAATCAGTAGACGTTTCAGTTCTCACCTGGGACAACAGGATTTGTCCTAAAGGAAGAAAAACTCCTGGGGCTCGTAACGCTAAGACGGTTAAAGAGAAGGAAATTTCTCGATTCAAATTCACTATCTATACGAACCTGTAAGTGAACGCTTAGCGAATGGTGCTCAGTGAGGAAATAAAACTCCTGGGAACACAAAATAGTCCTCTTATCAATCTTTTTTGTCTCATGGTTGCTGACCGTACGTACTTGGGAAGCAACAAGTAATCACTTATCATCTACATTCGTTTCAGGATTTTCCTTACTTCCGTCGTCGTCCTCTGCTCCCTCGTTACCCACTCCAACGCCCAATATGTGAGTTGATTTAAGGACCGCTAGTTGTAGGCAAAAAAACAGATAAAACTCTTCACATTATTTTCAATTTCACAACGACCACATCTTTTTTATGGCGCAAATGTCGTCATATCGTATTTATGAAAGTAACGAGCAACAGTACTGCACAAGAGAACTTCGAAGGACGCAGTCGCGGACGCGTAGCTGTTAAAATCAAATCGATGTGGTTCCATTCTCTTTGCAAAGAAAAAAAAACGAAAATATGCTCGCCTTTTTCAAAAGGACGATTTTACTTTAATGTTAGAGGTTTTCTTTCCAGTACTATGCACCCTACTACGGTTATGGATACTATGGTTATCCATACAGTTATGGATATTACGGATATCCATACAGTTACGGATATTATGGCTATTTTGGAAAGCGTGAAGCTGGATTTGGATCTGTTCAACAACACGAACTGCAACATGAGCACCAGCTACAACCTCCAGAGCAACAACATCTTGAAAGCCACCAACAAGCTCAAGAGCAGCCACTACATCTACAACCACCGCCGCAAATGTTACAGAATTAATACTCACAAAGACGTTAATAAATATTCTACACTTTCGCATTATTCTAACAAAGCGAAAAAATGGGTAGTCGCATAATTTAAATTCAGTATTTTTTCTACCGAGGCAAAAAACCAGAACTTCGCTCCAATTTCGTTATAAAGAAGATATTTTTCTTCACATGATTGTTTTTCCTCTCAAAAAAATGACTTCAAAAATTAGATGTTAAAGTCAAAGGGAGCGCGTATAGCGTAGTCGGAGGCGCCCTGCTACACACACGTGGAATCGATCCTTGCGTTCATAGCCCACCAATCCTCCCATCACTCCTGGGTCGACCAATTGGTACCAAACTTTCTGGGAGGATAGCAGTACTGGCTCGATACATCGGGAGGACACCGCGAGTCGTTGTAAAGGCCAGATATGCATCCAATTACCTCCAAACGATGCTTAGTGAAGTCGAATGCATGGCGCATCTCTCAGGGATTGGTCAACGCCTTTATCCTGTCTAAAGTTAAAGCATCTAAACATATTATTTCTTAGTAGTTGCATTTCTTACCAACAAGTTGAATGATAAACATTAGCTTAAAAAACAAAAAATTGGAGAGTTAGTAGGGCATAATTAAAAATTTATAAAAGCAGAAAAGGATATTTTTTATACCGATCTGGATTAAACCCTTTAAATTTAATGGATAGTCAGTGTTAAGAAAATTTCTTTTTTCAACTCCAATGATAGTGATGATAGGTGAACGCGTTACTCCTCGGATAGGACAACAGCGCGTTCGTTTCCCACCGCAGACACCTGCGGTCCGGAGTTTTGCAAATATCTCAGCATTATACAAGTTATATTTCGCAAGATATCCTGCCATAAAGGAGAATAGGCAGTAAATGAAACGGTTAAGATTGTGATTATAACTAAAGTCTCAGCTTAACTGGGTTCATTGCCGATTGAGTTCCCTAGATCAATCCCGCTGACGGGGATTGCTGATGGCACAGATCGATAGAACTAGCTGAGAGGCAGGCGAAGCGAAGGACCCGCATGGTGTGGCGGTGAACGCGTTACTCCCCGGAAAGGAAAACAGCGTGTTCGTTCCCCACCGCAGACATCTGCGGTCCGGAGTTTTGTAAATATCTCAGCATCATTGAAGTTATAATCCAGTGATAGTTTTCAAACATAGGCTAATGTACTAAGATGTTGATCAAATACGCATTCAATTATCTGTACGACGTTACGAATGGATTCGAATGCATGAGGTTTCCCTAAGGGATTAACTATTGCAGGGTGCTTTGTGCAGCTTTAATTCTTCACATAAAACTAATTTTTATAGTTTTCAGACTGGATTTCAGTTTTCAGACTGCTGGAAGGTTTTTGAAGTTTACCTTCTGTTGAAAACTAAAAAATGACAGCGATAGCGATCGGCTTTAGCATTTTTCCTACCGATACATGCGCATTTTAAGATTTCGCTCTTTTTTTGATTCGAGACAACTAAAGTTATTTTCTTATTGTAAGGTCTCATTAAACTGCGCGTGAGGTACTGGTAGTGGTACTGTTCCTCATGAGCATGGTGTTGCTTCGACTCCACCCTGTGCTCAGCAAATCCTTCATGCCTTCTGGATCGAGAACCTGGTACGAAACTTGTCTTGGAAAAATCACACTTTACAGTCTAATTAGAAGCGCTCGGGAAATCTTCGTCGGTGATGGATTTAAAAGTAAGAAGTGCTGGGACTCGCCCAGTAGATGTGAGGACGGCTCATGTAAAAAATTTAAAAAAATAATTTCTCACTATGATCTTGAGGGAACGTCGCAAGCTGAACTACGAATTTACAGCAGCGGTTCAGAATTCCGTCAAGTCTTCTAAAGGCGAGAAGAGGTTCGGTAGCATATGAATGCGTCGTTTTCTTGTTCAGCAACCGCGAGGTTTTTAAACAGCATACATTTAGTTCGGTGTTTGTCAATTTTCTACGGAAGCGAGATGCATTTGAATCGTTGGTATCACTGCAGAGATGAATGAATGTTTATGAAAGTGGCTACAGTAATCTATCGGTGTATTAAGTTAGGGCCGGTATTCTTTCAGACAAGTCTGCTGCCGATCTCCACCGACCCGGGCAGGATAGAGGACTTGGCCTGCTCGCAGTGTATGACTGAACCGACAACCACGTACGTCAAGGTCACCCCTAATTATTACGCTAGACCTGCGCCGTGCTCCAAGTACTTCTACTAATGAGGAGCACGAAACAACGAAATGGCTGACCCGGATGGTGTAGTGGTGAAGTGCGCTGCTCCCCGGTAAGGACAACAGCGCGTGTTCGTTTTCCACTGCATACACCTATGGTCCGGAGTTTTGCAAATATCTCAGCATTTCATACGAAATGGCTACTATTCAAAGTTCATTCGGCGTTCTGACGATTTCTAAACTTGCTTGCTGGGTGATTACTAAGGTCACTAAGGCACAAAGCGTGTCCCACCTGCTCACGTAGGAATTCTCCAAAATAAAATGAACGGAACGAATTTCCAAGAAGAAAATCCACAAAATGACTCTAAACACTTTCAGTATCTTAAAATAGTAGGCTTTTAACACGTTTTCTTGGTTTCATTCAAATTGTATTTATGTAAAACTTCTTGAATTTGGTAATAAAAGAAGCCCTAGCGGTTTGAAAAGCGCTAGAATTAAACTTAGACCAGAGACAGAGCGCTGATTTAGAAACTTGGCTCGATCCTAAGTGTAATGTGCAATAAGTCAACAGCAATAAAATATTGGTAGAAATAAACATGTTATGTTCATGTTATAAACATGTTATCTCACTAAAGAAACCGCAGTGTCCTGAACGATCTAAAGCAATAGCTATTACCAATTTGTGGCCCACCTTTTTTATTTCACTGCGACCAACCAGCAAAAATGAACCTAATGGAACAAAATTTACTAGTGATAAATGGTGAGTAAACTCGATTGGCCAGAAAACAAATTCATTTAGATATGAGCAAATATTTTCGCTCCATCGTCTATTTATTTTTCAACATCTGTACAATCTTATTTCTATGTTGATGAAGCTACGTGATGTCATACTCAAAAAGTTGTTGTATAAATTTGAGGACGATCGGCAGAATCTTCACATAACTCACCAGAGAAAGCCATTGACAACATGAAATTGTAAGTATTTCTTAATAATTCCATTTCACCTGAACTTTGGAAAATTTCAACAAATTTTCAAACTACATCGTGCTTTTCCTTTATAATAAAAGGATAACGCTGCCGGTGTTGATCAATCCCTGAGGGATGCCCTATGCATTCGACATTAAGCACCGTTTGGAGGTGATTGAATGCATATCTGGCCTTTACAATGACTCGCGTTGGCCGGCCGATGTGTCGAGCCAGTGCTGCTATCCTTCAAGACAAATCTGGTGCCAATTTGTCGACTCCAGAGGGATGTAAGGCTTGGTGGGCCACGGGAGCGGGGATCAATTCCACATGTGTGTTGCAGGGCGCCTACCACCACTGGGCCACGCGCGCCCAATACTTTATAATAAGAAACAAAAACATTCGACCAATCAGAGATGGTACGCATGATAACCAGCCTGTCATAACTAGCCACCAGTCATCATCACTCATTATGAAATTTTACGGTCTAAAACAACTTTTGACTTCGTTTTAACTTTTCATTTACTACCTATTCTTTTTTCGTGGCTTGGCACTATGTGGAATACAATAACAAGGATGCTGAGATTCGAGCAAAAGATGGGTCTCCATTTGGGCGTCGAACCCGTGAGTACCCTCACAGGAGACTCAAGTGCCATCCATCACACCAAACGACGCTCTTGCATCGCCTTTCTCTCAGCCGTGCTTTTACGCTAACGACGCTATCAGCTATCATTTCTCATTTTGTTTTAGATTTCCAGTGATCTCTTTAATCGCATTCGCTGTTCTGGTAGACGAAGCAACGTCACAGGTAACACGTTCTTTGCTTTTATTTCAAGTTTTCCAGCCTTTTTCTCGAAATATTCCCATAGACTCTAATATTAATAGCGAAGCATTTTTGAAAATTGCCATCCCGCCGCAGCAGTAAATTCGTTTTTTAGATATTTTCACAGGCATGTGGCTAAGGTCTCGGTAAATTTCTTTAGTTTCCAAACCCAGCCAGACTTTAGCAAGCAACTGTGATTGTACGATCACATACGGTATCTTTATTTTGCAACTATTGCAGAATGTTTGACTACGATATTGTTGTGGAACAAAATTTTGTACTCCAATAATAAAAAATTGTATGGACAACCTCTTAGGAATTTTCTCTAATGCTAACTACGATGATTGTGTTCTTTGATAATTCTATACTACGTGACTGAAAAAGTTTGCTCTTGAAAAATGACCTTAACTGAGCACAACTATTATTTGAGCACAACTACAATTATTTGTGTCTCTTTTAAAGTCTGCTCTTTTATAAGTGAAATCCGAGTGCTACAAACCATTTCTCTACCGCCAAAAGTACAGCGAGGACCGTCTGAAGACCCAGTTTGCATCCGATTTCATACCACACGTCATCATTTCCCTCCACTATAAGTGCTCATCAGTTATTCTTCAACGGAAGTCGCACAAGAAATTTTCTTTCGCTTTTTGAGGAGCAAAAAAGAGCTACCATAAAAAATGAGGTTTTGATTTTCAAGGTTTACATTTTAGCCGTATGGACGTGATCCGTACGATCCCATTTCGCCGGTGGACTCCTCACTGGACTGGAGGATCTCATTCTTCCGGCCACCTTATTCTGGATATGGATACGATTGTCGCAAGAAAAGAGCCACTGAAACCGAATCGGAGCCCGTCACAAGTAAATGATAGCACTTCTCATTGTCTTTGGTAAAAAAAAGAAAATTTTACCAAATAACCTGTCGACAGCACAATTTAACATTACTATATATTTTACACCGCTTGAGGCTACTACGATCCTTCGGCTACGGAATGGATGTGTTGTGAAGACATAAAGGGCAAAGCGCCTTGCGTTGATCTCCTAAGAAAATACCGTTCATTGGACTCAA